ATTCGTCACATTCCGATGGACAGATAAGCCACCCAAATCGATCGGTAGCTTAGCTCTGTTTAACTTTCAGATTCAGTTCTATTTTCAACTCGAAATGAATCACTCACGCGTGCTGAGGGCCACGAATATTGTGCTCCTGCTGTCGGGCTATCAGATATATTGGCTGGACTCCAAGACCCAGCGTTTCCGATTGTCCCTGACCGGGGTTGTCTATATCTTAGCGCTGGGGTGCATATATGCGGCCTGCTTTGCCCAGCACTTTGACGCATCTTCATCGATGCTGACGATTCTGAAGAATGTATCGTCATTTCTTTTTGGATTGACAAGATTGCAGCTTTTGCTGGGTGTCAAAGTGTTTAGTTATGCGGTGTACTCATCCGTAAGAGCTGTGGGAGTAATCAACCCACTGATGGAATCTTTGGCTGGAAAGGAAAGTGGATTCCGGAAAGAAGAGGCCATGGCGTATGCTCTGTTGATCTCTTCTTTTGGGATACTCCTCTGCTTTGGATTCTATATTGCCTGCGAAATGAATTTCGAGCTGCCTCCCCTTCAAGACGCCATGATTGGAACGGCTCTCTTTATGCCACATCTTTGTCTTGCCGGATCCCTGAGATTGTACAATATTTTGGCCTGGCTAACGCGTGGACAGTTGAAGGAGATCCACACGAATGTGGAGCAAGCACTTGATGCCAACCGTAAGAAAGATGACGAGGAAATTGCTTCCACATCTTTCACGGTGTCTGTCAGTAATTCCAGTCAGGACAGCCTCGAGAGTCTGCGAAAAGAATTGGTGCTCCTTGGAACCCGATTTGGTCGCTTTTTCAAGGCCATGCGGCACTCTCTGTTGTTTCTGGTCACCATGAATGGCAATTGTCTTCTATTTGGGATATATTCTTACGTTTACTATCGAAATACCTGGCATGTGCTCTTTGAGGATCGCAAACGAAGAATCTTCTATGCGGCGAATGCCTCCATTTATGCCTGTATTGCTTCGGATTATGTGTGTCTTCTTTTGGTGCAGTTCTTTATGGAAAAAGAGGTGAGAAGTGCAGTTGAAAATGTTCTCTGGAAATCTTAGCTTCATTTATACTCGTACTCTTTCACAGCGTCTTGGCTTTCAGACAAGCCTGGATTCTTTTCTCTCTCAAAGAAATGCTTTGTCGAAAAGCATTCGCTGTCTGGCCAAGGATATTAAGGGCACTCTACTCAACACTTTCCACCACAAATTTCTATCCCTTTGGCGCTTTGATGTTATTCATTTCGTTTTGGTAAAGTCCCATATGAAACTTAAAAAAAAAAGATTTTTCTAATATTTGTAAACATTTGTTTTTACAGATGCTATTGTTTCAATGCGTTATTATTGCCCTGATTGTAATGTATCATTATTTGAGTGATGAAATTTTACAATTGAAAGAACAATTAGATTCGGCAGATGATGAATAAATAATATTGGAAAAATATCAAGTGAGGGCAGTGATTTGTTCTACATAATTCGATATCTACTCTATGCTAAGCTTAATCTATAAATTTATCCGTTCACCTGGGTCAACAACCTGGGTCCGGAGCAACAAATCACGATTACGCTGCTAATAAAACGTAGAATTTTTGCTGCATTCGTTAGAGATGTCCAAACTTAAGAGAACTAAACAAAAGTTAAATAATAGTTCGAAAATATATTTTATTTTATTACGATTAAAATTCTGCAGCAGTATCTTGATCATCGTGAAGGATCCCAGTCCCAAGGGGACCAATAATCTTCTTGATGTGTGCCTGAAAAACAAGTCGTTTGTTATTAAAACGTTTGCTGAGTATTTCAAGATATTGGAACATCTCGATGTCGCTGTGATCCGCATCCGACATTACCAATATGTTTGGGGCTTTAAAATTATTTAATTTTTTTTTTTCAAGGTTTAGTTTATTTTTTTTTTTAAATATTTCAAATCTGGTATTTTATTTGCTTCTTTTTTCAGAGGTGGTGCTTCTTTTTTTTAACATAACTTAAGTATCTTACGCCTGGTTGTATTGAACTTTGCAATTCAGCTTTAAGTCCTACCTGGAATCGTCTGGAAGCTTTCAAGCTTTCAAATTCAACACTGAGCATTTTTTGCGGTATTTTTTTCGAAATTGTAACTGAAAACTCGGGAAAATACCTTAAACTGGGCTTTAATTAATTTACCAATACCAAAAAATTACAAAAGCCCAAGGAATACATTTATTTCGACTTTTTCCGAGTTTTCAAAGTTACTTTTTCGGGAATAATACTTAAATTATGTGAAAAAAGCACTACCTCTGAAAAAATACCAGATTTTTAATTGTGCTAAATTAAGCTAAACTTTAAAAAAATAATTAAAAATTTTGAAACCATTTTAAAGCCCCAAATCTATCCAAAAAGGAGGTTTGGTTCAGAGTCTTAAAATGGTGTTGCAGTGTTATCAACCATCGCAATATTTCCGCCCGCGCCTGTATTCGGATTGTTGTCAACGGAAAATGGAATACTCGTATCGTACCGCTTAAGCGACGATTTACAGAAGCGAGAGAGCGAGAATGAAAGACACGAAAAGTCAAGAGCCGCGGCTGCAGCTTTGCAGAGAATGAGAGATTCGACGCTTAAGTTAACGGAATCTCACACGGCCGCACTCCCACTGAACTTGCACTTACAACTGTTTTTTATTGTGCACCAAATGTATTTGTTGGTAGTTAAAGTACACAGCAAAGAAATTATTGTTCAATTATTATGGTTTTCATATGTTTATATGTCTATATGATTGAGATTCTATTTCAAAGTTCGAATAAAACAATTGAGGTTTAACCATAATATTTATAATAACAATTATGTATATACCTATATAATGTTTATTTATACCGGCGGCTTAGCTGAAGCCGATTGCCGGCTCCTATGCCCATCCAGATAAATGTTAGTACGCGATATCGATATGCAGTGATGATGCGGTGAGAGATTATCTTAGAACTAAATTTGGGCGAGCCGGCAGATCAAAGCAAAAGACGATGCAGAGTGAGAGCAGTTCAATCTATAAACTAATTATGCTAACAAACAGCAATCATAATGTTTTGAAGTTACGATGATTCATCGGCGGCTGGCCCGAACACGAAGAATCTTTTCAAGAATCTCTCACAAATATTTGTTTCAGTGTGAAACTTCACGCTTTGCTTACACAATTCGTCACATGGACAGATAAAGCCACCCAAATCGATAGGTAGCTTAGCTCTGTTTAACTTTCAGATTCAGTTCTATTTTCAACTCGAAATGAATCACTCACGCGTGCTGAGGGCCACGAATATTGTGCTCCTGCTGTCGGGCTATCAGATACATTGGCTGGACTCCAAGACCCAGCGTTTCCGATTGTCCCTGACCGGGGTTGTCTATATCTTAGCGCTGGGGTGCATATATGCGGCCTGCTTTGCCCAGCACCTTGATGCATCTTCATCGATGCTGACGATTCTGAAGAATGTATCGTCATTTCTTTTTGGACTGACAAGATTGCAACTTTTCATGGGTGTCAACGTGTTCGTTTATGCGGTGTACTCGTCCGTAAGAGCTGTGGGAGTAATCAACCCACTGATGGAGTCTTTGGCTGGAAAGGGAGGTGGATTCCGGAAAGAAGAGGCCATGGCGTATGCTCTCTTGACCTCTACTTTTGGGATACTCCTCTGCTTTGGCTTCTACATTGCCTACGAAATGAATTTCGAGCTGCCTCCCCTTCAAGACGCCATGATTGGAACGGCTATCTTTATACCACATCTTTGTCTTGCCGGATCCCTGAGATTGTACAACATTTTGGCCTGGCTAACGCGTGGAAAGTTGAAGGAGATCCAAACGAATGTGGAGGAAGCACTTGGTGACAGCTTAAAGAAAGATGAAGTGGAAATTTCTTCCACATCATTCACTGTGTCTGTCAGTAATTCCAGTCTGGAGAGCCTCGAGAGTCTGCATAAGCAATTGGTGCTCCTTGGAACCCGATTTGGTCGCTTTTTCAAGGCTATGCAGCACTCTCTGTTGTTTCTGGTCACCATGAATGGCAATTGTCTTCTAGTTGGGATCTATTCTTACGTTTACTATCGAAATTTCTGGCATGTGCTCTTTGAGGATCGCAAACGGAGAATCTTCTATGCGGCGAATGCCTCCATTTATGCCTGCATTGCTTCGGATTATGTGTGTCTTCTTTTGGTGCAGTTCTTTATGGAAAGAGAGGTGAGAAGTGCAGCTGAAAATGTTCTCTGGAAATCTTAGCTTCATTTATACTCTTTCACAGCGTCTTGGCTTTCAGACAAGCCTGGATTCTTTTCTCTCTCAAAGAAATGCTTTGTCGAAACGCATTCGCTCTCTGGCCAAGGATATTAAGGGCACTCTACTCAACACTTTCCACCACAAATTTCTCTCCCTTTGGCGCTCTATTCATTTCGTTTTGGTAAAGTCATATAATTTGTAAAACTCTTGCTAAAATTTCTAAACAATTGTTCTTTACAGCTGCTATTCTTTCAAGGTCTTATTATTGCCATGATTGTAATGTATCATTATTTGAGTGATGAAATTCAACAGTTGAAAGAACAATTAGATTCGGCAGATGATGAACTAATAGTATAGGAAAAATATCAGGCTCAAGGCATAATTAGATATCTACTCCATCTACAATCTCTATCTTTGTTTGGGCAACAACTTCATATTAATTATCTTCATATGCAAAGCTTAATCTATAAATTTATCCGTTTGCCTGTGCCAAACAGTCCGGAGCAACAAATCACGATTAAGATGCTAATAAAATGGGCTCCGCTCCCCCAATCAAAGTAAAATGTTTGTGGCTTTCGTTAGAGATGACCAAACTTAAGAGAAATAACGACAAAACTAGCGAAATTTAAATAATAGTTTGAAAATATGTTTTTTCAATTAATTAAATTGGTTTTCCTTTTGATATTCACTGAACTAGTTCCAAAACTGAGATAACTATATTCTATTCGAGTGTCTTAAAGAAATCCCTACGAAATTATGTTTTATATTCGTTTAATTATAGTGGAATTTTTTGCAGAAGTTATGAATTTGGAAAAAGTTGGTTGTGTATTATTTTTTCTGCTTTTTCATTGCGAGCGCATCTTCCTTATCCTTCTCGATGATTTTCACATAATCCAGGATGGCATTTCGGTCCAGCATTTTCAGCGGCTTGTTGTACTCCATGACGGCCACCTCCAAGTTGTTGTGGCTCGTCTGCGCCACCTCGAGCAAAGCGCGAACGGCCAGTTTGACGGCACTTTGCTCGGTGATCACATCTTCCTCGCGATAATTCTTCTCGAAGAATTCCTTCACAGTCGCGGCCGAGCGACCCGTGGCATTTGCCTTGTATTCATAGAAAATACCAGAAGGCTCCGTTTGGAATAAATGTGCCGTGCCATCGCCATCGAAGCCGCCAATCAGACAAGAAATACCAAAGGGACGGCGACCATTGCTCTGCGTGTACTTCTGCTTGATCTGAGCAATGTAACGCGTGATGTACTCCACAGTGACTTGATCCTCGACATTAAGACGATGGGTCTGGCACTCCACTTGGGCGCGATTGATGAGAACGCGCGCATCGGCAGTGAGCCCCGAAAAGGCCATGATAATGTGCTGGTCGAGCAGGCAAATCTTGCGCACTGTGCGATCCACCTGCAGCTTGGGCACAGACTTTTTCTCCACGGCCAGCACCACACAGGAGCCGCCGCGAACACCAACCTAAGGAAAAGAATTGTTTCTTGGGTAAATTCATGCAAAATACTACAACAGCGTGGGTTTTACCGCCGTGGAGCCCTTGCGGACGGCCTCTTGGGCATATTCCACCTGCATCAAATGTCCGTCAGGGGAGAAAATGGTAACGGCGCGATCGTAACGTGAAGACATCTTTAGGAATTATAAAGCAAGCACTTGAGGATTATTATAAACTTGATTAGCTTGCACTGAAATGTTTCTGTGCGTTTGTCAATGATGATGCTATTTTGGTTATGTTTCTCTGCTACCCAACACTGGTTTCTTCATTCCGCCAGTGTTGCACAACACGTGTTAGTTATAAGATTAATTGCCAGCTGATATATGTATGTATTTAGTTTCCAGATAGTTACCTTATATTCCATCCAAATCGAACTCCTAGCCATCACTGATTTACAAACACCTACGCGTGGGCGGTGGCAGTGGTTTTCCTTATATGAAACTCCGCCTAGGCACTGTGGATAACAGCATGCAAAACGCCGGCAAATGAACATAACTCGCATAAGGAAATCTACATAATATTTACAATGATGCCAGGCAGAGGCAGCACACAAACAACCCAGATATACAGACACACACTATCCTCCTTCCACCAATACGGTGGGTGGCAGTGCCGGGGCCATGCATGCAACTCTGTGGAGATGCTGATGAGCAGATAAATTCATTAGGCAAAACCATGTAATTGTTCCACCAGGGCGACGACGAGGACGACGAGGACTATGGCAAACAAGCAAGGATGCGGCGGACATTTGGCTCAGCTGGCAGCAGCAGTGCAACCCGGCCAGCCGGCAGCCCGGCGAAAGGCAACCCAGACGACCGCAGATCTTAAGTTTTGCTTTGCAGCGAGAGAGTTGGGAGTCACGAAGCGTTACTAAATACAAATTAAACAAATCCATAAATAATGTTTAATAATATTAACAAGGATATTAGCAGAGTATACACCCACACACACAGAGAGACCGAGAGGAGCTACAGATGCGCTCTCGGTTATGGTTGTTCCTGTTTTGAGTTGTGCCACCTCTGGCCCCCCCGCCTGCCTTCCTGCCTTCCTGCCGTTGCTCGGTGTCTGCAGTCCTTGTGTGGTTTATGGGAATGTTTCTTCTGCCACCTGGGCAGGTCATACATGGGTGTTTACACGGCTTGCATCCCAGGCATCGTTATGGATTTATTCTTTGATACAATTCTAATTCCTAAGCTACAAAAATCTTTGGTTATTCGTTGGGTTTTAGCTTTTGAATCTGGGATCTAAATTAGATGTTAGTTTCATCAACTTCATTTGTCGCAACTTTTTCACTGCCTCAATTTTTTCATTCAAACGCAAAAGCTCGTTTTGTAAGAACTTCTTTCGAGACTTTGATGGGTCTTCGGGTGGCGGGGAATCTGGTGGGGTTTTCGGCCCTTTTTTAGGTGTCTTCGCACGCCGTAAAGCACGCTTGAAGCTCGAATCGCTCGAAGATGCTGAATCCTCTGAGGCATTGTATGAGTTGCTCGATGAGGTGCTGATCTTTCGCTTTCGCGGTGCCATGGGCAGTGGACGGACCAAGCCTCGGGATTGTTTAGAAGCATGGGGCGAACGACGGCGTGTGGGAGGACTGCGGGAGCGACGGCGTGCCAAAGGACTGGGCGAGCGACGGCGCACGTAAGGACTACGGGAGCGACGGCTAATGGGAGGGCTGCGGGAGCGACGACGTATGGGAGGGCTGCGGGAGCGACAACGTATGGGAGGGCTGCGGGAGCGACAACGTATGGGAGGGCTGCGGGAGCGACAACGTATGGGAGGGCTGCGAGAACGACGCCGTATGGAATTCCCTCGATACCGAGATACAGCCCGAAGGGGCGATTTGCGAGGACTAAAAGATGAGTGTTGTTTCGGTCGTCGACGCGGACTTCCCTTCGGTGAACGGGATGAACTGCGACTGAAACTGGTACTGGGGGAAACGGAACACGAGCGACGAGATGTTCCACGATTGCGACAACGACGGCGCTTGCTGTAGCCACATCTAGGGGGAGACACGCTGGGGGACAAGCACCTGGAGCGGGATCTCTTCAATGTGATTGGCGGCGAGCGGTTTCTCTTTCGAGTGCGTGGCGATGAGCCCCCAGAGATGGAATTCTTTCCAGAATTCGTGAGGGACGACGAACCCTCGGCCTCCTTCGTGGGGTCGCCTCCTTCGCTGTGCCACGAGATCGGTGCCCCAACAATTTCCGTGGTCTTGCGCGTATACGTCTCATTCCGATTGGGAGCCTCTGCCAAGTCGAATGGCAATGACTTGATGAACAATGGTGTCGGTAGCAGGGGACCAATCCTCATATGTGGCTTGGCCTGTGAGTAGAATGGATCTGCATCCGGCTGCTGCATTCCAGGGATGAAGGCATGAGGCATTTTTTGTAGTCCCATCAAGTAATTGCTCGCACCTGAATAAATAAAACATTAGCAATGAATGATTCAGGAGGAGGAGTACGCACCATTGAGCTTCGGCATTGGCATCTGCTTCTTCTCAAACATCCGATAGTTGTTTTCCTTGGGAAACGGCGACGAATGACGGATGTCCTTTTTGCCGGAATTGTAGAATGAAGCATCATCGTCATTGTCATCGGTAAGAACTTCTCCTTCTTCGCAATCACTGTATTCTTGTGGTTTCTGGACACCCTGGGTTGGTATTTTCACATCCGAATCGTTACAAACTTCTCCTTCTTCTGCGTCTGATAGTTTTTTTTCAATGGATTGATATTGATTGAGATCCTCTAATGGCAAATCCACGGGCCCATCATTCATCACTTCTATGAAATCCTGGAGATCCTCCGATGTTGTTGTGGATGCAGCGTCCGGCATCTTCTTGTGATCTTCGAACAGAGGCACATCCCCCGCATTCTCATGGCTAATAGCTTTGTCTTTCGCATTTACCCCTACAGTTGAGGAAGCATTCTCCTGCTCCTGTTCCCCACCGTACTTCTTAATGTCGCACAATTCGGGGTCGTCATGTGTATAGAGCCACTGGTTTGCATCCTTAGAACCCGACCCATCAGAGGATTCACGCCTTCCCTGTATATCTTTGGGCCACTGGCCACTGGAATCCCCTGGCGGTTTCTGATTTGGCTGCTGAGTGTCGCCGCTTTGATTGGGAGCCTCGAATGATGGCAGATCGGCCTGCTCAATGCCTCCAATTTGTAGTCCTTCTGGTGCATCTTCGGGCCCCTGATTGAGAGCCTCCAGTGGTGCCTGATTGGCCTGTTCAATGTGTCCCATTTGTGGTCCTTCTGGTGCATATTCAGGCTCCTGATTGGGAGCCTCCAATGATGGCTGATCAACCTGCTCAATGTCTCCAATTTGTGGTTCATCTGGTGCGTCTTCGGGCCCCTGATTGAGAGCCCCCATAGTTGCCTGATTGGCCTGTTCAATGTGTCCCATTTGTGGTCCTTCTGGTGCATCTTCAGGCTCCTGATTGGGAGCCTCCAATGATGGCTGATTGGCCTGTTCAACGTCTCCGCTTTCTGGTTCATCTGGTGCATCTTCGGGCCCCTGATTGAGAGCCTCCAGTGGTGCCTGATTGGCCTGTTCAATGTGTCCCATTTGTGGTCCTTCTGGTGCATCTTCAGGCTCCTGATTGAGAGCCTCCAGTGGTGCCTGATTGGCCTGTTCAATGTGTCCCATTTGTGGTCCTTCTGGTGCATCTTCAGGCTCCTGATTGGGAGCCTCCAATGATGGCTGATCAACCTGCTCAATGTCTCCAATTTGTGGTTCTTCTGGTGCATCTTCGGGCCCCTGATTGAGAGCCTCCAGTGGTGCCTGATTGGCCTGTTCAATGTGTCCCATTTGTGGTCCTTCTGGTGCATCTTCAGGCTCCTGATTGAGAGCCTCCAGTGGTGCCTGATTGGCCAGTTCAATGTGTCCCATTTGTGGTCCTTCTGGTGCATATTCAGGCTCCTGATTGGGAGCCTCCAATGATGGCTGATCAACCTGCTCAATGTCTCCAATTTGTGGTTCATCTGGTGCATCTTCGGGCCCCTGAATGAGAGCCCCCAATGATGTCTGATCAACCTGCTCAATGTCTCCAATTTGTGGTTCATCTGGTGCATCTTCGGGCCCCTGATTGAGAGCCCCCAATGATGTCTGATCAACCTGCTCAATGCCTCCCACTTGTGGTTCTTCTGGTGCATCTTCGGGCCCCTGATTAAGAGCCTCGAATGATGGCAGATCGGCCTGCTCAATGCCTCCAATTTGTAGTCCTTCTGGTGCATCTTCGGGCCCCTGATTGAGAGCCTCCAGTGGTGCCTGATTGGCCTGTTCAATGTGTCCCATTTGTGGTCCTTCTGGTGCATCTTCAGGCTCCTGATTGGGAGCCTCCAATGATGGCTGATCAACCTGCTCAATGTCTCCAATTTGTGGTTCTTCTGGTGCATCTTCGGGCCCCTGATTGAGAGCCTCCAGTGGTGCCTGATTGGCCTGTTCAATGTGTCCCATTTGTGGTCCTTCTGGTGCATCTTCAGGCTCCTGATTGGGAGCCTCCCATGATGGCTGATCAACCTGCTCAATGTCTCCAATTTGTGGTTCTTCTGGTGCATCTTCGGGCCCCTGATTGAGAGCCTCCAGTGGTGCCTGATTGGCCTGTTCAATGTGTCCCATTTGTGGTCCTTCTGGTGCATCTTCAGGCTCCTGATTGGGAGCCTCCAATGATGGCTGATCAACCTGCTCAATGTCTCCAATTTGTGGTTCTTCTGGTGCATCTTCGGGCCCCTGATTGAGAGCCTCCAGTGGTGCCTGATTGGCCTGTTCAATGTGTCCCATTTGTGGTCCTTCTGGTGCATCTTCAGGCTCCTGATTGGGAGCCTCCAATGATGGCTGATCAACCTGCTCAATGTCTCCAATTTGTGGTTCTTCTGGTGCATCTTCGGGCCCCTGATTGAGAGCCTCCAGTGGTGCCTGATTGGCCTGTTCAATGTGTCCCATTTGTGGTCCTTCTGGTGCATCTTCAGGCTCCTGATTGGGAGCCTCCAATGATGGCTGATCAACCTGCTCAATGTCTCCAATTTGTGGTTCTTCTGGTGCATCTTCGGGCCCCTGATTGAGAGCCTCCAGTGGTGCCTGATTGGCCTGTTCAATGTGTCCCATTTGTGGTCCTTCTGGTGCATCTTCAGGCTCCTGATTGGGAGCCTCCAATGATGGCTGATCAACCTGCTCAATGTCTCCAATTTGTGGTTCTTCTGGTGCATCTTCGGGCCCCTGATTGAGAGCCTCCAGTGGTGCCTGATTGGCCTGTTCAATGTGTCCCATTTGTGGTCCTTCTGGTGCATCTTCAGGCTCCTGATTGAGAGCCTCCAGTGGTGCCTGATTGGCCTGTTCAATGTGTCCCATTTGTGGTCCTTCTGGTGCATCTTCAGGCTCCTGATTGGGAGCCTCCAATGATGGCTGATCAACCTGCTCAATGTCTCCAATTTGTGGTTCTTCTGGTGCATCTTCGGGCCCCTGATTGAGAGCCTCGAGTGGTGCCTGATTGGCCTGTTCAATGTGTCCCATTTGTGGTCCTTCTGGTGCATCTTCAGGCTCCTGATTGAGAGCCTCCAGTGGTGCCTGATTGGCCAGTTCAATGTGTCCCATTTGTGGTCCTTCTGGTGCATATTCAGGCTCCTGATTGGGAGCCTCCAATGATGGCTGATCAACCTGCTCAATGTCTCCAATTTGTGGTTCATCTGGTGCATCTTCGGGCCCCTGAATGAGAGCCCCCAATGATGTCTGATCAACCTGCTCAATGTCTCCAATTTGTGGTTCATCTGGTGCATCTTCGGGCCCCTGATTGAGAGCCCCCAATGATGTCTGATCAACCTGCTCAATGCCTCCCACTTGTGGTTCTTCTGGTGCATCTTCGAGCCCCTGATTAAGAGCCTCGAATGATGGCAGATCGGCCTGCTCAATGCCTCCAATTTGTAGTCCTTCTGGTGCATCTTCGGGCCCCTGATTGAGAGCCTCCAGTGGTGCCTGATTGGCCTGTTCAATGTGTCCCATTTGTGGTCCTTCTGGTGCATCTTCAGGCTCCTGATTGGGAGCCTCCAATGATGGCTGATCAACCTGCTCAATGTCTCCAATTTGTGGTTCATCTGGTGCGTCTTCGGGCCCCTGATTGAGAGCCCCCATAGTTGCCTGATCAACCTGCTCAATGCCTCCCACTTGTGGTTCTTCTGGTGCATATTCGGGCCCCTGATTAAGAGCCTCGAATGATGGCAGATCGGCCTGCTCAATGCCTCCAATTTGTGGTCCTTCTGGTGCGTCTTCGGGCCCCTGATTGAGAGCCCCCAATGATGGCTGATCAAACTGCTCAATGCCTCCAACTTGTCGTTCTTCTGGTGCATCTTCGGGCCCCTGATTGAGAGCCTCCAGTGGTGCCTGATTGGCCTGTTCAATGTGTCCCATTTGTGGTCCTTCTGGTGCATCTTCAGGCTCCCGATTGGGAGCCTCCAATGATGGCTGATCAACCTGCTCAATGTCTCCAATTTGTGGTTCATCTGGTGCGTCTTCGGGCCCCTGATTGAGAGCCCCCATAGTTGCCTGATTGGCCTGTTCAATGTGTCCCATTTGTGGTCCTTCTGGTGCATATTCAGGCTCCTGATTGGGAGCCTCCAATGATGGCTGATCAACCTGCTCAATGTCTCCAATTTGTGGCTCTTCTGGTGCATCTTCGGGCCCCTGATTGAGAGCCACCAATGATGCCTGATTGGCCTGTTCAACGTCTCCGCTTTCTGGTTCATCTGGTGCATCTTCGGGCCCCTGATTAAGAGCCTCGAATGATGGCAGATCGGCCTGCTCAATGCCTCCAATTTGTGGTCCTTCTGGTGCGTCTTCGGGCCCCTGATTGAGAGCCCCCAATGATGGCTGATCAAACTGCTCAATGCCTCCAACTTGTCGTTCTTCTGGTGCATCTTCGGGCCCCTGATTGAGAGCCACCAATGATGCCTGATTGGCCTGTTCAACGTCTCCGCTTTCTGGTTCATCTGGTGCATCTTCGGGCCCCTGATTAAGAGCCTCGAATGATGGCAGATCGGCCTGCTCAATGCCTCCAATTTGTAGTCCTTCTGGTGCATCTTCGGGCCCCTGATTGAGAGCCTCCAGTGGTGCCTGATTGGCCTGTTCAATGTGTCCCATTTGTGGTCCTTCTGGTGCATCTTCAGACTCCTGATTGGGAGCCTCCAATGATGGCTGATCAACCTGCTCAATGTCTCCAATTTGTGGTTCATCTGGTGCATCTTCGGGCCCCTGATTGAGAGCCTCCAGTGGTGCCTGATTGGCCTGTTCCATGTGTCCCATTTGTGGTCCTTCTGGTGCATCTTCAGGCTCCTGATTGGGAGCCTCCAATGATGGCTGATCAACCTGCTCAATGTCTCCAATTTGTGGTTCATCTGGTGCATCTTCGGGCCCCTGATTGAGAGCCTCCAGTGGTGCCTGATTGGCCTGTTCAATGTGTCCCATTTGTGGTCCTTCTGGTGCATCTTCAGGCTCCTGATTGAGAGCCTCCAATGATGGCTGATCGGCCTGCTCAATGTCTCCAATTTGTGGTTCATCTGGTGCATCTTCGGGCCCCTGATTGAGAGCCCCCAATGATGTCTGATCAACCTGCTCAATGCCTCCAACTTGTGGTTCTTCTGGTGCATCTTCGGGCCCCTGATTAAGAGCCTCGAATGATGGCAGATCGGCCTGCTCAATGCCTCCAATTTGTGGTCCTTCTGGTGCGTCTTCGGGCCCTTGATTGAGAGCCCCCAATGATGTCTGATCAACCTGCTCAATGCCTCCAACTTGTGGTCCTTCTGGTGCATCTTCAGGCTCCTGATTGGGAGCCTCCCATGATGGCTGATCAACCTGCTCAATGTCTCCAATTTGTGGTTCATCTGGTGCATCTTCGGGCCCCTGATTGAGAGCCTCCAGTGGTGCCTGATTGGCCTGTTCAATGTGTCCCATTTGTGGTCCTTCTGGTGCATCTTCAGGCTCCTGATTGAGAGCCTCCAATGATGGCTGATCGGCCTGCTCAATGTCTCCAATTTGTGGTCCTTCTGGTGCATCTTCAGGCTCCTGATTGGGAGCCTCCCATGATGGCTGATCAACCTGCTCAATGTCTCCAATTTGTGGTTCATCTGGTGCATCTTCGGGCCCCTGATTGAGAGCCTCCAGTGGTGCCTGATTGGCCTGTTCAATGTGTCCCATTTGTGGTCCTTCTGGTGCATCTTCAGGCTCCTGATTGAGAGCCTCCAGTGGTGCCTGATTGGCCTGTTCAATGTGTCCCATTTGTGGTCCTTCTGGTGCATCTTCAGGCTCCTGATTGGGAGCCTCCAATGATGGCTGATCAACCTGCTCAATGTCTCCAATTTGTGGTTCATCTGGTGCATCTTCGGGCCCCTGATTGAGAGCCTCCAGTGGTGCCTGATTGGCCTGTTCAATGTGTCCCATTTGTGGTCCTTCTGGTGCATCTTCAGGCTCCTGATTGAGAGCCTCCAATGATGGCTGATCGGCCTGCTCAATGTCTCCAATTTGTGGCCCTTCTGGTGCATCTTCAGGCTCCTGATTGGGAGCCTCCCATGATGGCTGATCAACCTGCTCAATGTCTCCAATTTGTGGTTCTTCTGGTGCATCTTCGGGCCCCTGATTGAGAGCCTCCAGTGGTGCCTGATTGGCCTGTTCAATGTGTCCCATTTGTGGTCCTTCTGGTGCATCTTCAGGCTCCTGATTGAGAGCCTCCAATGATGGCTGATCGGCCTGCTCAATGTCTCCAATTTGTGGTCCTTCTGGTGCATCTTCAGGCTCCTGATTGGGAGCCTCCCATGATGGCTGATCAACCTGCTCAATGTCTCCAATTTGTGGTTCTTCTGGTGCATCTTCGGGCCCCTGATTGAGAGCCTCCAGTGGTGCCTGATTGGCCTGTTCAATGTGTCCCATTTGTGGTCCTTCTGGTGCATCTTCAGGCTCCTGATTGAGAGCCTCCAATGATGGCTGATCGGCCTGCTCAATGTCTCCAACTTGTCGTTCTTCTGTTGCATCTTCGGGCCCCTGATTGAGAGCCCCCAATGATGCCTGATCGGCCTGCTCAATGTCTCCAATTTGTGGTTCATCTGGTGCATCTTCAGGCTCCTGATTGGGAGCCTCCCATGATGGCTGATCAACCTGCTCAATGTCTCCAATTTGTGGTTCTTCTGGTGCATCTTCGGGCCCCTGATTGAGAGCCTCGAATGATGGCATATCGGCCTGCTCAATGCCTCCAATTTGTAGTCCTTCTGGTGCGTCTTCGGGCCCCTGATTGAGAGCCCCCAATGATGGCTGATCAACCTGCTCAATGCCTCCTACTTGTGGTTCTTCTGGTGCATCTTCAAGCTCCTGATTGAGAGCCCCCATAGTTGCCTGATTGGCCTGTTCAATGTGTCCCATTTGTGGTCCTTCTGCTGCATCTTCAGGTTTCTGATTGAGAGCCTCCAATGATGGCTGATCGGCCTGCTCAATGTCTCCAATTTGTGGTTCATCTTGTGCATCTTCAGGCTCCTGATTGGGAGCCTCCAATGATGGCTGATCAACCTGCTCAATGTCTCCAATTTGTGGTTCTTCTGGTGCATCTTCGGGCCCCTGATTGAGAGCCTCGAATGATGGCATATCGGCCTGCTCAATGCCTCCAATTTGTAGTCCTTCTGGTGCGTCTTCGGGCCCCTGATTGAGAGCCCCCAATGATGGCTGATCAACCTGCTCAATGCCTCCTACTTGTGGTTCTTCTGGTGCATCTTCAAGCTCCTGATTGAGAGCCCCCATAGTTGCCTGATTGGCCTGTTCAATGTGTCCCATTTGTGGTCCTTCTGCTGCATCTTCAGGTTTCTGATTGAGAGCCTCCAATGATGCCTGATTGGCCTGTTCAACGTCTCCGCTTTCTGGTTCATCTGGTGCATCTTCGGGCCCCTGATTGAGAGCCTCGAATGATGGCAGATCGGCCTGCTCAATGTCTCCAACTTGTGGTCCTTCTGGTGCATCTTCGGGCCCCTCATTGAGAGCCCCCAGTGATGCCTGATCGGCCTGCTCAATGTCTCCGCTTTCTGGTTCATCTGGTGCATCTTCAGGCTGCTGATTGAGAGCCTCCAATGATTCCTGATCGGCCTGTTCAATGTCATTGAGATCAAGATCATCCTCTGAAACTTCGTGCCCTTGATTGATATCGTCCGACGATGCCCCATCGAGCTGCTTCATTTTGTGTCTGCTTTCCGCTTTGTTTCGATCTGAAGCGAGGAGAGCGAGCTGCCTGTCCAAATTCGCACGCGATTTCGCCATTCCTGTGGAAATATCCCTCGCAAAATAACGACTGATTTCATACTCATCTGTATGAGAAACAATATATGTACCTGGCCGGTCTTTCTCCATCTTGCAACTGGAATGCCAATTCCCCATCAAATATATGTATGATCTCTAAAGTTGTCGAGGTTTTAAACAATATCTTAAAACAAGAATATTTATCTCAAAAATGTAAGTTAATAAGTTAATAAATAGTTAGTTAACCTTTATTGTAGATCCGTCTGAGTTGACAGTCTTTTCTTTTTGGTGGCGGTGGACTGAAAAAAAAAAAAAACAACAAACAAGAAAATCATTTGATCTGAAAAAATGATGGGAACGTCTTCCCGATAACACATACACGAATGTACCAAAAGATTTCACAGATTTCTTTGAAATATTTGTTCCTTAAACTGTGCACACTTTATATTTCACAAAAACTCAACAAAAACTTATAAAAAAATTTTTTTTTTGCAATTAAATTCCAGACAGTGTGTGGTCGCTTCCAGGAAATTTCGTTCACGAAGCTCTGTGCAGAGTTGCCAGACTGCTATAATTGAAAGATATGACCAGACTACTATAAAGTGAGTACATACAAATATATTTTTATAAGTCACAGAATCACAATTAATATAGTGCTGGAAAACATTTATAAATTAAACTGTTTTCGTTTAGTTCAGAAACGAACTATTTCCATAACAGTTTAGCAAAAAAAATTATATTCTGACCCCGAAACCGGGGATTTGGGATCGCGGAATAAGTTACCAATGCATCGACAGCTATCAGCACATTTTGGGTCTCAATCTTAGACCAATTTGCCAATGCTGACCGCCCCGTAAAGGTTCATCAGATATCAAGATCGCGTGTTCTATATGGCGGGACTGTTGCACATTTATTTCAGAATCTTATACCGAAAGCGGCTGCTCTCTCGCCACTCGTTATTCTGTCACTCGCCGGTCATAGTTTTCAACGATTAAACGCAGGCATGAAGTTTTGAGATTCGTCAGTATCATCGCTGTTTACTGCCGATTCAAATTGGCATTCCAAATCAAATCTCTAAACAGAAAAGGCGTACTAAGGAGTGCTCTTACGCTGGGAATCGTATGAATGTTTCTTCGTTTCTTTAGTCTTCAGTTTTTGGTTGCTTTATATCTTTTATAAACTCTAACAAAACACTGCGATATTTGTTCTCTGCAATATACGGGAGGATTATGTCCACGTTGTTATGTTGTTTTCTTAGGATTTCTTGGGGGTTCCACGCGGACGGCTAATATGAGGTTGCCGCTGCTAAAGGAGACCTTGTAGATGGGTCCCTCGTAACTGTCGTACGATTTTAGTAGCAGCTCCTTTGATGCCAATTTGGAAGACGAGGATTTACGGGATCCAGACTGCTGGACGAGGCGGTCAAAGTCCCAGACGGACAGGCGAGCCTCCCCGCCGGCCACAACTAGGATATTATTGTCCATGTCGAATGCGCAGGAGTAGATTGTGGCCGTGTGGTGACTCAGGTAACGGATCATTCGCTCGGCGGGCAGGTCCCAGACAATTACCAGGTGATCGTCGCCTCCTGAGGCCAAGTAGCTCCCGCACGTGGAGAAGGCCAGAGACGTGACTCTCGCCTTGTGGCCGCTGAGCACACGCACCTGGCGGCCCTTCACTACGTGCCAGACGCGGACAGTGCAGTCCGACGACCCGGAGGCCAGGTAGTACCTGTTCGGGTGGAACAGACACACTTCCACGCTGGCCAAGTGGCCGGATAAGAGGCGCGCTGCTTGCTTCGTACTCTGGGCCCAGATTCGAGCCGTGCCATCCGCCGAGGCGGTGGCAAAGTAGAAGCCCAGGGGGGCATACACTACGCAGTAGACTGGGGCCAGGTGCCCCGTATAGATAACAATACAGCTCCAGGAGCGGAGGCACCACAGCCGCACGTTGGTGTCCCTCGAGCAGCTGACAATGTAGCGGTCGTCGGGGGAAAAGGAGCAGCCGTAGACAGCCCCCTGGTGGCCGTACAAGGTGCGCTTTACCCGCCTGTCCGACTCTCCCTTTTCAAGCGTCATATCCACCAGAGGCTTCGAGGAATCCACCGAGAAGACGTGCACCACGGAGACGGACGTGCCCAGTGCCACCATGTTGAACTCCTCGGAGAAGGTCGCACACAGAACTTTCTCCTGCCCAGTCATGGCCGTGTATAGGTAGACCGAGGGCAGGTGTTCCCGACTAAGCTCCTTGCGCTGCTCGTCTTCCGTCCGGCGCTTAATCTCATCATCAAGACACGGAGGGGGCGTGTACAATTGTTGCATATTGGCGTTGTGCCGGCGTCGAGAGTGCTTGGAGGGTTCTCCGTGCGTCTCGGGAAGAGTCCACAGCATGGTCTCCAGCTTAGGATGTCCCAGGAGGTAACGTTGCTTGGGCAGCTCCTCGTCGTCGTATTTCCGGAGGCGGATGTGGCCCATGATTTTGTCCTGTTGCCAAAACGGAATGCGCGCCAAGTGGATCAGGCACTGCGTATAGGCGTCCCGGGCCATCAGGATGTCCACCTTGTAGTGACCGTTGAGCAGCACTCGCGCCCTGGATGGCACCTCCGCTGGCCTAAGAATTTTCTTCAGCGTTGCAAGCCGCGGCCTGTAGGAGTCATCCAAGTACTTCCCGCAGTTCTTCACGAGGGTCGCGGCCCCGTCCACGTTGTCGCTGGCCACCATTTGCAAATAGGCCAGGACCAGCAGAGGATACAGCAGCTGCGAGATGTCGTATCTGAAGCGATCGCACACCGCCTCAACCATGGACAGCACGGCGTGGAAGGCCTGCTCGTACTGCTCGAACACCTCGTTCTGCTTGATGACCTTGAAAACGGGCTTCCCGGTGGGTTCCTGGCAGTGTTCGGTGGCACTGTCATCGTAGAACTCGGTTGCCTGCCTGCCAACCGTCTCCCTCCCACTTGGGGTCGATCGTATGCCAGCATTCTTCGAGCTGGTATACCCAAAAGGCACCTCGACTGTGTGCAGCGGCAGGTGCAACCAACTTTCCTTTCCTTTTCTGCAAATAGGATAAAGACTTTCCTCATTGTCCTCCACATCACTGAAGTCGGATTCCCAGCTGTGTGTGTCGTCAGAAAAGCAATTCAAATCCTCGTCATAATCCGTGCTGGGTTCCTTGGCAGCTTCGCTGGAGTTTGATTGGGTAGAGGTGATAAAGATATCCTGGTAGGTGGGATATTTAAACTGAAATGTGTCCTTATTTGCGTCCTCGAACAGAGGCATTGACGGCATCGGGCCACTATGCTCGTCCACGTCTATGGACGACGATTCCCCGATTAAATCTGCAATGCTACATGAAATTGGAATCGTATAATACATATGCATCTCGTAAATATGATCTGAAAACATTACCCCTTCGACTGTCCCTCATGGGATGCTTTGTAACGTTTTGGCGAAGAGCCCAAGTGGGGAAATGTCAGGTCACTCCATTCTTGAGGTTCGTCTTGCATTTCGGACTTGCCATCGGAGCTGGATTCCAGTGAAGAGCTGTCCTGATCGCTCGAGAAGTCCGATTCTCTCGCGCCCACTTTGGCTTTAAATTTTCCAATATTCTGATCGGTCTCCATATTGTTGCACTCTATCTCGAAATCCACCTCCGGCGCTTCTCGGACCTTTTTTTTCGCCTTGGACTTCTGTACTGACATTAGCTTTAATCTGATCCATTTATGAGATCTTCTATTATCATCTTATACTTACATGACGCTTCTTTGTTTCCTTGCTCATATTTTGAAACTTTTTTGAACGTTTCATTTCGCTTTGACAACGGAAAATGCCAGAGTCACTCCCACCAGTGTGACCTTATGCATGTGGCAGCAATTATAGTCTCATTAGGGGTATTCCAGGACGTATTGCATCGTTGAACTTTGTGCAGGAGAATTATAATCAGTCTAATTATATTTGAAAAATGTTTTAAATGATGCAGAGGCGCATTCAGGCTGAAAGATGATCGGAAAGCCGAGCTGAACTGAAGAAGCTTTCAAAATGAAGAGCTGAGATAAAAAAATTACCCTTTAAATTATTCTCTGAGTTTTTGAACTATTTAATGACTTTGCTAATCATTTATCGGAATCGGACGGATTGGACATCTGTACGTGTATACACAAGGTGTTCTATGCAAAACATTTTTGTTTTTTTTTTTTTAATATAATCAGCTCAAAAAGTCCCATTGAATTTAAGTTTTACCAAATCCTAATTATGGATAAATATGCACAAATACCTGTAAAGCTCAATGAAGTACTACCACCAAAAATATACCCATTTTTTAATAAAAAAAAATAAATATTAAACCCCAAATCAATCAGAAAAATTCGGTTTGGTTCGTCGAGTAAAAATGCTGTTGCATAATGATAGAAATATGTGATATCGTAGAACCTGCAGAGGCATAGATGTCTTGTACTATAAATAAGATTATTATATTCATATTTTATTTAAATAAATATTTAAATTAAAATGTAATAAATAGTGAATACTTTATAAGAACTGCACTAAAACTTCACTCACTTACAAATGCCATTTAAGAGAATTTTTCGTATATTTCAACAGCATTTCTGTAGTACTTTCCCACACCATTATCTCATCTCAAATGGGAAGACTTAACATTGTAAAATCAAATGACAGTGGCGCATAGCATACCGGTTGTGTACACACATTTAAATGCTTATTAAAATGCATGTTTCCAGATGAAAATTAGACAACCCCACACCAAAATGCCAATCCTGGCAATGGTCAGAGTGGGTCCTGGGGTGGAACAACGCTTGGAGCAACAGCATCAATTTCCGCAAAATTGCGCCACTAAATTACCATAACGGTTTGGGGTCCACCGAAGCCACCTCAAGCCACCCCACATTGCCTGCCTCAAAGCAGCCCCAAAAACCAAACGAAGACGAGCCAAAACTAACGGAAACATATTACGGCAACTTGAGAGAACCGAAACCCACAAAAAGGCGACAAGTGAGAGACAAAGACGAAGACTGAGACGGAGACGTAGACGGAGACGTAGACGGAGACGAGGGCTCCAGACAAATGCCGAGGAATGCCCAGAAAAACCGCCACAAACAAAGAAAAACATCGCGGAAAAACGCAAACATCAGCGCAATGCGGCAATGGAGTTACCTGAAGCGCCGCCGCCGCCGCCACGACAGATGGAATGGGGCATGGGGATGGGTCCTGGGTCCTGGGCGATGAGGTAGTGCCGGTAGGTGGAGGGGGGGTGGGGGGGAGGGTATGTCCCACAGGACTTGTAAATAGCAACATGGCAAACAAGTTAAAAAGTTTTCCTCTTGTTCTTTGGCATTTCTTTATGCCACACGGATGCCACAAGGGCCCCCTGGCCCCCGTCCCACGGCCCGGGCCCAAAACATAATCGTTTCTCATTTCAATGCTGGCGGTACACCCCAGATACCCCAGATCCTCCTCCAGCTTTCTGGTCGTGCTGCTGGCCCCGCAATTTAGTTTTGAGCGTAATTTCTTTTAATAGCGCCAGTCGACAGATAAAATTCAGCAAACCCAAAGAAGATGTCCTGTCCTGACACCTGACATTGCGCCCAGTGCGCCCAGTACGCCCCCACCTTGGTGGCAGGTCAAAGGTGGGGGGGGGGCCGGGGCCGGATATCGCAAGTAAATTGCTTAATTTTGGCCATGTCTCCAAGGTCTGGGCGTTAGGGTTTTTGTTTTGTTTTATTGGAGGGCAGGAGGCCGGCGGCAGGCAGCTTGACGTTTTCCGGGCCATGACGATTTCATTTGCATTTTATGATAATTGAACTTCATAAATATGTCACGCGGCAGCATCTTAAAAGTGCCAGAAGGTGAAGGTAAGCACCCCATTCCCTGCCCCTCCCCACCCCCCACGGTATGGTGTTGGCTTTCGTGTGGCATGTGCTTCATAATTATTTTGAAGTGTTGCCATTAATTTGAAATACTTATGGTCGTGTGGGTGGCTGGACGATAAACTGCTAAACAAGAGTGGATAGCGAAGGTTACAATTTAAATATGTTAAATAAGTATATAATATGTACGAAGAGGGTGTATCGTTACCAGCGATCGTTAAGTTGGTTGACACTCCAGTCCACTCCCGGGGTGGTTGCCCCGAGAGATTAACTAAGATTTGAATAAAGGTTTTGCTTAGAAAAAAGGTCGCTCTAGAAGTGACCTGGGGGCTGGCTTCGAAGGTACCACTGAGATCCAAATCGAAGCTAATTTGAGACTCACTTTAGTCAAGTGTCCTCTATTAACTTACTTCCAGGAAATCTCAAACCGAACACCACTTCAACGCTGAGGTTCTCATACAATATGTCCCCCACAACTCTTTGTCAGGGAAAAAAGGAAACATTTAACGCCTCATTAGAATCAGGACAGCCCGGCAATCCAACAAAGCAACGGCAAGGCATCCATCTTGAGGCAAACACACACAAAGGGGGATCGGGCGCCAGGGACAATGAATAAACTCTGGCATAAACAGGATATATGGAGGAATCCAGTAGAGAATCCCAGAGTGCGCGCCTGGCAGTAGCACGGCAATGAATATTAATGAGGTGTCATCAGTCTTTCGTCAAATTAAAACACACAGCGCCAGCGGCCCAGAACGAAGGAGTACGAGAACGTGAACGGTGAGACCTGGAGACCTGGAGACCTGTCAGGCGAAGCAGCCGCCGCCACCAGACGGCAAAGACATCTCTCTCCTTGAGTCCTTGGGTGCTGTGTTGTGTTTTGTTGTGTGCACATCCTGCGGTAACTTTTCTAATTGTTGCCAACACAACGCGAATAAATCAGCAGCCCAGCCAGAAAAGTGCCTGGAAACTAGCTCTGCTCCACTCCAGGGGTGAGAGGATTTTAAGCAATTTGTTTTGCCAGTAGTTGAGTATTCCATCAGTGTGCTTCCATCGGGGGGTGGAAACCAGAGGGTTGCACGGACTCCGGTATAGGTAAGAAGTCACGGCTTAACCCTTTCCGGGGCCGGGGCCGGGGCCAGGGCCAGGGAAACGCGTCGTCAGCAGTCAGCATCATCGTCACACTTCAGCGCACTATCATCACGCTTGTTTACACGCATAATTATGTGTGCCGGGATTCCGGGAATATCCATCCATCCAGCTCCAGGAGACACAGGAGCACAGGAGCACAGGATACTTGCGGCTTTTGGGGGCTGCCTCAGCAAACGATTTAATGCCTCGTGACAGATTTCTCACTTGAACTTAAGATGACGGGCGGTGTCACAATTTGAGGCTGATAATATGTTAATGAGGTTTGTTTATTTGATTTATATTCCCCTTGTCACGCGCCCCGCCCTCTCGTGCAAAAGGTGTCGAAGCCCCAGGGCAAACACAGGAGGGTTCTCGTTCTCGTTGCGGTTGTGGCCCATTGCCTCCTGTGACTGATGTTCATTCAAATCACAGTCAAGTGGAAGTTAATCGCTTGTCCGGTAGAGATTTTCCCACTCACAATTGTATAAATAAATTTATAAGATTTTGTTATGGTAAATAATGTGGCTTTTCCACTCAATGATCGAATGGGAGTGCCCTGAACGGGCTTCCTAATCGATGTTCTCCGTACGAGTCTGAACTGAATTTGAAGAGGTTTACCTTAAGGGAATCACATCTGCTTGGTACCCCTTATGTTTATTGTTAACGAGTGTTTAGATAATTAACAAATGCATTATGTCTGAATTGAATCTCTGGTAGTGAACATTTTGTGTCAGTGTGGATTTCGAATTTCAAATCGTCTACTCTCAGCAGCGCCCTCCAGTGTATGATCTTTAAAAGACCTCTAAAAGAACTTGCGTATTATTTTTGGCACAAAGCGTATCAGGGCACAGGTCAAAACAAATACGAAAATATTTGCTTGAACCTCTTTTTTGGCCAGCTCTTCGACCGCACGCATATCGGGCTGCAAGGCGCGAATCATTTTGATTGTAGAACTGCAGAATATTTAAATGTTAGACCACCCTTCACTATCGTATATTACTTTTCTTTTAACTTACGTTTGAAATTTTATTTCAATAGAATTTTAGTTGTACTTTTAGTTCTGAAGTTCTCTGTAGACTGACACATATCACAGGGTTGCCTTATACCAGGGATACAATTGAAAAACGATGTTTTTGGATAGGAAGGTAGGATAGAATAGGTGGGATATGGAACGTACTATTTTTACTCTCCATTTGATGCACCTCCAAGTTAAATAGAGAATGAATGGTGCGGAGCTGAAAATTAATTAATATTAATTATTAATAAAGCCAATGCGGACCCACTCTGAACAGAAATATACTGAAGTACTAATTTGTATAAACTGGCGAGGAGGTGTGCACTCTGTTCCTGCAACTCAAGTCAGCTTAGAGAGATCGTTTTCTGCACATCCTTTGATTTTGTAGCTGATTTTTTTAACTTACCTTTCTCCTGTTCTTTAGTAATTTTTTTGTTTTTTTAAGCACAATTTCACGTTTGTCTCTTCGATGTTAAGTTGGCGGTGGCAAAATATATTGATCGATCTTATCGATACATTGAATAAACTGCGATAGTATGTGCATGGATTTTAATAAATATTTATAATGTTTTAATCACCTGCTACTCTGTAATAAATTCCTCAGCAATTGTTGCTTTTTGCATTTACTATTTACTGCTTTTATTTTATGGGATTTAAAATTTTACACAGATCGATAGAACTTTCTCTACTGCAAAACCCCTATCCCTATTTACATATGTGTTGTAAAGGCTCGTTCATTTGAGAGACTGTTTTAGTTCAAAATTCTAGTCTATCGTGTCTTGTTGAGAGAAATCTGCATCTTTGTGCGTTCCTCGCAGGAAGAACAAGTTTCTGGAGATCATTCGAGTTTCCCTTTGGGCCGAGGCCTAAGCCAAATATCATGTTCTGCACCCATTAGTCCAAGCAGATTCCAGTGCACATTATTTCTGGCCAACGGCACGTGTTTGGACCGCAAACAGATGAATTCCTGCAGCAGTAGAGCACACAGGAGAGTGGTGAACCTGGAAGGACAACGAATTATGAGGCAGCAGGCAGCAGGCAGCGGCAGCGGCCACTCAGAGAGCAGTTGCGCATTCCGCCGGGAGGTCGGACTGGGGCTCAGGCTCCAAAGCAAAACTGCAATTCGTCCTCGGGGTCTTTTTTGTGTTAATAATAAATAAACGGGCCTTGCAACCGCCCCCCGCCCGTAGACGTGGCTGCTGCTGCTGCTTGTGTTTTGGACACACCGGAGCGCATTTTAATGGACGAATGCAGGCGGCAGTGGCTGCCAGGACCAGGCCCAGACCCCGGAGCAGAGCACACCTTTGCCCGGGGTGCATGTGTGACACCCGTAGTCTGTAGCCGGTAGCCGGTAGCCGTACAGTACCCCTCTGCGGCCAGGACTCTCGCTTGAAATACGGCATTTGCTCGTCCATCTTTTGATTTAGCACCGACATAAAAATGATTTATCAGTGACATTAAAATAATGCACACTGTGGCGCATTTTATGTGCGAATGGATTTTCGCGCCTTTTTGTTCTCGTTGCGAGTCCGTCGTCCTCTGCAGCAGCAGCAGCAGCGGCAGCGGCTGGTGGGTTTGGGGGCTGCTGCACATCGCACACATTTACCACTAGTCCTAGAGAGCCATAGAGCTTTCATACACAGGCAAGCAACCAACCAACCAACCAACCCCTGCTGCATCCGCACTCATAGTTGGCCCTCTCAAACAGCTGTCCGTCCGTCCGTTCGTCCGCTCGTGGGGTCTGTGTCAGTCTTTGTATGCTGCCGTCAGCCGAATGTTTTACGGCCGAGGTGTTTGTGACTGAGTCTCCTCCGGGTTGCCGAGGGGGTGCTGCACCTATCCCTGCCCTGGGGCCTCCCTGCCCCGCTGCTGCTGGAGCATCATAAATGTAAACTTTTATGCGATTATCGCGCTCTCTTTCTGGCTGCCAGGCCAGGCGGAGTGTGCAACGCCAGTATGTGGAAGGTGCACTGGAGAAAGTCTTTGGAAGACTTGAAGAAAGCTGCACAGCCTGGGAAGGGCGGGGGATCTATAGATATCAGATAAGAGCTGTTTGTTTCTTTTGAGTTTGAACTGGGAATAGGTTTGGAAATCCTTAAAATTGAACAGATTTTCTGTCGTTAGGTCTTCAAAAAGTTGACACAAGCTCAGAAACTATAACTAAATCGAGCTCTGCCGTTAAGGAACAGAGATTATCAAAGTATGTTCCCTATTTAGGACTTCTGTTCTGTTACGATATAGGATACGATTTCTTCAAAGCATTACGATCTTGTTTCAGGCTTAAATAAATCCTTTCTTCTGGTATCATTTCTACTTTCTTCTGGTTTAAAGTTTGCTCTAAATTCTTTTCAGCAAAGATCCCTTGTATATTTTCTCTCAGTGTAGTTCTTGTGCTATTTGAAATGTGCCATAATTTGCACCCAGATGTGTGACACAGCAGCAGCAGCAGCGTGCGAGAGACGGCTGGCTGGCTATCAACTGGAACGCGGCTAGGATGTGCCACCATGCCACCATGCCACACACACACACACACACACGCGCGCAGAATAGACGACAACATATGCCCCCCGTGCGGAGCCTGGAACTCATTAGAGCGGGCGTCCCTCTTCCTGCCCCTCTCCCTTTCCCTGTGTGTGTGTGTGGGGGGGGGGGGGGGGGAGGGGTTTAATGAGGACACAACATGAGCCATGGAGACGGCGCAGGCGCCTGCACACACAGAGAGAGGAGTAGCAGCAGCAGGACGGACAGTAGATAGGACATGGACATGTGCATGCACATCTGCAGACGTCGCTGATTGCCTGGGCTCCCAATCTCAGTGGCCCATGGCCATTCCCCATGCCCGAGACCAGTTGGCAGCGTCAGCATAATTTCCTGATGCTAAATGCCAAACGCAGGACGAACAGGACGAACCAACGAGCCAGCCGAGCACTTAAGCCCATCCGCCGCCGTTTGCCATTCGACGACTCTCGACTGACCGACTGCCACCGCACCGAAAACTGGGGAAAAGTACGAGTAGATTGGGTCTGGGATTGGGCCAGGGCCAGGGACAGGGCCAGGGATTGGGAGTAACCCGAATGGGAACAGAGGCGGGGTGGGGGGGTACAGGCACAGGATGAGGGCAGAGGAACAGAGTGATAGCCAGCCTGCCTGCATGCCTGCCGTAGTTGTAGTTGTGGCTCTGTGTCATTGTCTCGCTTTGGGGCACAGGAGCACCAAGAGGAGGCACCAGCATCAGGGCAATTTAGAGAACGGCGCACACACACACACCGACACACCTGTTTTTGGGTAATTTATCTCGAAGAATTATTATTTCAAATATTTTGGCGGGCAGGAGGCGGGAGAGCCGAGAGATCCCAGAGAGAACACAGAGACGGGAGGGCGACGCACCGAAATAAAAGGATTTTAAAATGGTCATTTGATATGAATTATGCGCGTTGGTGCAATTACAGGAACTCCCAGACCCAGACCCAGACCCAGTCCGAGACCCCCGCTGGAATCCCATATACTCGCATAGAGAGACCCTTAGCCATGGCCACCACCATTCCTCACTTCATTTCCTCCACCCACTCGGGGTTGTGTGATGCCTTTTGTCTGACGCTGTGATGCGGTTGTCTGACGCTTAAAAGAGGCGGATCCTGCTCCTGTTTGGCTTGTTTACTGGCCTCGTCCTCCTCTGCCCTCCCCTCTGGGTGGTCCGCGACTTGGACTTCATCGTTAAATAATTAAATCAGCTGCTAGACTAATATATTTCTCTTAATTGCGAGTTGCTCATGGCCGAGAGAGGGAGAGCGAGAGCCATTTGGCCACCCATTTCTGATTTATGTGCCATATAAATAGCGCCAATAGCTAATATCGCTGATGGGATGCATATGCAGGCGGCTGTAATGGATTGGTATTGGGATTGGGACCCCAAATGAATGGCTTGCTAGGGGTTGTTCTAGGGAGCATATAATGGGAGCCATAAAGAGGCCAAGTGAATGGAAAATCTGCTAATATTTTGGGTTTTTTAAAAGAGTTCGAGTTTTTTTGTCCTTAATTTCTCTCCACTTTTATGAATCTTAAAATTGGCAAAACTTCTACTCAAATCTGAAATCAATGAAAAATCAACAAAAATGTTAAAAATAATTGCCGCGACACCCAGAATTTCTGTCCTCCCCCCGAAAATGTCCTGCCAAACGGGTGGAAAAAAAAATAGGAAAAAATTGAAAAAGAAGGAAATGTAAAAATAATCGGCAATAAATTTAGCAAAAGTGTCGAAAACGGCACACACACACACACACACACACACAGAAAGACCAGAAAGTAGAGAGTGAAAGGAGTGGAAGGAAGTCTCAAACGGGGCAGAAATTCGGCCACGCCAAGAACTCATAGTTCAATGTCCTGGGCAGGCGATGCCTGATGCCTGCTGAATCCTGCTGGCTTCCTGGGGTGGAAGCGGACTGGCGGCAGGGGACAGGGGACAGGCGAAAGGGGCCAGGTTCGGGTTCGTGGCAACCGCATTTATAATAAATTGAATTGTAATAACTCAACTTCAATCAAAAATCATAATTCATGGCGTTCGACAGGCCAGAACCAGAACCGAACCGAACAGCAGACTGAGACGACGACGACGACGACGACTGGTGGCGAATCCTGAGCTCTGGTTCTGGTTTTCGATCCTCCTGCTGTCCTGCCAGAGGATGTGTGTGTGTTTGCTTCCGTACGAGTATTTTCTTGGCTTTTTTAATATACTCTTTCTATACGGTATGATGATTTTTGTTAGAAGCTAGAAGTATCCCTAGGTCTGGTCTTTGCGTGGACCTTTCTCGAGGAATCACTGGATCTTTCCAGTGTATCCCAACCTTCGGTCCTTGAAACCTAGCCTCCTTGTTGCTCGTTCTTTTTTTTATTGCCCCGCAAGTTGCATTGGCGACGCAGCCGAAAATTATAAATCTACGATTTGACATGAAGACGCGCGCACATGGTGGCATGGTGGCATGGTGGCATGGTGGCGGCATGGGTGCGCTGTGTGTGTGAGGAGTGGTTGCAAGACATGGATTTATAGACGAAGACA